CCTAGAGATGGCTTCCCTCAAGGCTAAATACGAAGATGTTACTTCTATGCTTAAAAATAAAGAAGATGACTTGGCTAATGCGAAATTAAACTTTCAAGATGAGAAAGTGAGACTTACCAAAGAATACTTCAATAAGCTGGAACTTGAGAAGTTAGCTGCCGTGGAGAGCTTTAAAAATTCTAACGAGTTCAAGGTGCTCATAGCCAAGGCTTGCTGTGATGGTTTTGACTAGTTCAAAGCTCTTGTCAGCAAAGATCGTCCAGATATAGATTTTTCTATGTATGATATTCTGGCGGAGAGTGAAGAGAAAGATTGAACTCCATAGTAACAGTCATATATATATATATTTTAATTAGGTGGTTTTTTTTTTTAGCATGCCGATCCCTTAGAACTGTTCAGAATATCTCTTAACTCAGAGAATAGTTGCTCTTCTTTTGACATCTCTCAACTCAGAGAATAGTTATTTTTCTTTCGACATTTTGTCTTTCATGATATTGCTTCATACTCGTTACTTCTGTATGCAGAATTTCTTTTACTTTTTCAGACTTCACTCAGCCTGTCCTTCTTCTGAAGGATTGTCTTTTTACGAGCTTCAGCCAGCTCGTCCCTTTAGTAAGGGAATATTTCTTTTAATAAAGAAATGGACTTAATACTTTACTAGTCCTTTCGTGACTTATTAAATTCATTAATAACGTAATCAGCAGTAGAAACACGTGAAATAAATACGAATTTTATTAAAGACTTATCGAAAACAATATTCAATAGTCGAGAATCAGCATCCATTAAACATTGGTCTGCTTTATTGAAGCTAAAAACATACTATCACTTTTAAAAGTGAGATAATAAGACATAGCCTGTACCTATTGGTAATATTTCCTCAAATGTTCTACATTCCATGGGTGGAGAAATTGGCTCCCACCAAGTGTCTCTAACCAATATGCCCCCAGTCTGTTGCATTGGGTTACTTGATAGGGGCCCTCCCAGTTGGGAGCTAACTTTCCTTCCCCCTTCACCATAGTAGCCAGGGTAACCTCGCGAAGCACCAGGTCCCCTGGCTCGAACCTCTTTAGCTTGACCCGGGCATTGTAGTACTTGGATACCATCCGTTGGTAAGCTGCAACCTTGATTTGGGTCTGCTCTCTTTTTTCTTCTATCAAGTCCAAGTTTAACCGTAGTTCCATCTCGTTCTGTTGAGGTTCAAAATACTTGGTTCTGAAGGTAGCAACCTTTGTTTCTACCGGGATCACAGCTTCACTTCCAAAAGCTAACCCAAAAGGGGTCTCCCCAGTGGGGGTTCTTACGGTAGTGCGATAGGCCCATAAAACTCCGAGTAGTTGTTCAGGCCACAAGCCCTTGGCCTTTTCTAGGCATGTCTTGATCATTTTTAGTATTGTCCTATTCGTGACCTCAACTTGCCCATTGGCTTGGGGATGGGCAGGAGAAAAGAAATAAACTTTGACACCAAGTTCATTACAAAAATCAAGGAACTGCTCACTTTCAAACTGCTTCCCATTATCGGTCACAATTACCCTTGATGCTCCGAACCTGCAGATTATTGTCTTCCAGAAAAACTTTTTTACTTCATTCGCTCCAATATGAGCTAACGGCTCAGCCTCCACCCATTTGGTGAAATAATCGATAGCCATAATTGCGTATTTAGTTTGTCCCTTCCCTTGGGGTAAGGGGCCGATGAGGTCTGTCCCCCATTGGGCAAAAGGCCACAGCCCTATAAGAGGGGTTAACTCTTCTGCTGGTCGTTTCGGGACATTGGCGAATCTTTGGCACTTGTCACATTTCTTCACAAACTCAAGCGCATCTTTCCTCATAGTAGGCCAAAAGTATCCTTGTTGGATAGCTTTATGCGCTAGTGACCTGCCCCCAGCATGGTTTCCACAAAGGCCTTCATGTATATCCTTTAGAATGTAATTCGCCTCATCTATGGGGACACAACGCAAGTAGGGTAGAGAAAATCCCTTTTTGTAGAGAACTCCTTCAATGAGGCAATATTTTGCCGCACGCATCCTGATCTTTCGTGTTTCCATGAGATCCTGGGGTAGCTCTTTGTTCTCTATATACCTGATAATGGGTTCTACCCATTCCATACCTTGGATCACCTGGTGTATTTTCTGTGGCCAATCCCAAATTATGCTAGGCTCATCCAAATGTTCCACAGGTATAGCTTTATCCTCCTCTGCTGCGGTTGCTAGTCGGGCTAAGGCATCTACTTGACCATTATCTTCTCAGAGAATCTGATGAATGGAAAACTTCTTAAAGAAGCCTTTGATATCTTCTATCTTATGCAGATAGGTCTTCATCTTCTCATCCTTTACTTCATATTCCCCCTGGACTTGTTCAGTTATTAGTTGAGAATCAGTATACGCTATTAGTCGCTCAACTTCTAGGGTTTTAGCCATCCTGAGGCCTACCAGGAGGGCTTCATATTCTGCCTCATTGTTGGTTGCTCTAAACCCAAACTTGATGGCGTATTTTATGCATTCCCCCTCGGGGGAAACAAGTACTAGCCCCGCCCCACTTGCACGGGCGTTGACCGATCCATCCACATACAATGTCCAAGTATTTTTAGTTTCGTCTTGTTCATCTACTCCCTGCTCATGCCTATCTTCTGGTGTGAATTCTACTATAACATCTGCCAGTACCTGAGCTTTTAAGGCCGTTCTGGGTTTGTATTGGATATCAAACTCTCCAAGTTCTACTGACCACTTCATGAGTAGCCCCGAAGTATCAGGTTTGCGGAGGACTTGCCTGAGTGGCTGGTCTGTCAATACTATTATGGTATGTGCTTGGAAGTAAGGCCTGAGTTTACTTGCAGAGACAACTCGGGCAAGGGCCAACTTTTCTATCCTTGGGTACCTCTCTTCTGCCCCTCTGAATGCACGGCTAGTATAATATACTGGCTTTTGGATTCCATCCTCTTCACGGACTAAGGCTGAACTTACTATCTATGGAGAAACCGCCAAGTACAAATACAACTGCTCTCCTTGCATTGCCCGTGATAGTAACGACGGTGAAGTGAGATACTCCTTCAATTCTGTAAAAGCTTGCTTACACTCAGGTGTCCATGAAAAAGCTTTCCTGAGCACACGGAAAAAAGGCAGGCATCTATCCGTTGCCCTGGAAATCAACCTGTTCAGAGCAACAATTCTTCCTGTCAATCTTTGAAGTTCCTTAGTCGATGCTGGAGACCGCATGTTGAGAATTGCCAAGATTTTCTCGGGGTTGGCCTCTATCCCTCTCATACTTACCATGTAACCAAGGAATTTCCCTAAGGAGACACCAAAGGCATATTTTTCTGGGTTGAGTTTCATTTGGTGTTTCTTGAGGACTTGGAATGTCTCCTGTAGATCAGCTAGGTGGTCTTGAGCTTTCGAGCTTTTTACCAGCTTGTCATCCACATATACCTCCATATTTCTTCCGATTTAATTCTTGAACATCAAGTTGACTAGCCGCTGGTATGTTGTACTAGCATTTTTAAGCCCAACAGGCATCACCTTGTAGCAATACAAACCTCTGTCCGTGACAAAAAAGGTCTTTTCTCTATCTGGTGGATGCATTAAAATTTGGTTATATCCCGAATATGCATCCATGAAACTGAGCAACTCATGGCCAGCCATTCCTTCAACTAACATGTCGATTCTTGGCAGAGGGAAGCTATCTTTGGGGCACGCCTTATTTAAATCGGTAAAGTCTACGCACAATCTCCATTTTCCATTGGCCTTTTTTACCAAAACAACATTGGCCAACCAGTTGGGATAATTGACCTCTTAGATGAAATCAGCTTTTAGAAGCTTGTTCACCTCTTCTGATATAGCCATGTTCCTCTCCGCGACAAATGTTCTTCGTTTTTGCCTGATAGGTTTGACTGTGGGATCCGTGTTTAATCGATACTCGATCGTAGCTAGATCAATACCAGGCATGTCTTCATGTGACCATGTGAACACATCTTGATTCTATCTGAGGAACTGTACAAGAGTATTCATGAAGTCTAAGGGGGGTAGAGACCATATCTTCACCTTTTTTGTTACGTCATTTTCATTTAAGCATACTAGGTCCTCAATTGACTTAGCTCGATCTCGCTCCTGTTCTTCAATTTCTTCGACAACCAAAGCCTCTTGCTGCTTCTTTTTTCTCAGAGATGCAACATAGCATTCTCTGACAGTGGTCTGATATCCTCTTAGTTCGCCTACGCCCTGCTCTGTAGGGAAATGCATCAAGAGGTGATAAGTCGAAGTGATTGCCCTCATCGAGTTTAAGGTAATTCTTCCTAGGATAACATTGTACGCAGATGGGTAATCCACCACCAGGAAGTCTACCATAACAGGAACTTATTTCGGGCTGGTTCCTACAGTGATAAGAAGAATGACCACTCCCAGAGGGTAGACCTTATCTCCCATGAATCCCACCAATGGTGATCTAGTAGGTCTGAGTTTCTCCTTACCAATATTCATTTTGCTGAATGCATCAAGGAAAATGATATCAGCCGAACTTCCATTATCCAGCAAGATCCGTCGAGTAGTATAATTAGCAATCATCATGGTGACAACGAGAGAGTCATCATGGGGTTGTTGCACGTCCTTAATATCTTCATCTGAGAATGTGATAACAGGATCACCTAGATGTGGCATTTTTCGGTGTGGATTCTGTATTCCAACTTCGCAAACTTTAGATAAGTTTCGCATTCTCCTGGCATAGGCCTTACGGGCTGAGCTTGATTTTCCACCACCTGTACATCCCCTGATTATGACCCTGATTTCTCCCATTGGTTGTTGATCAGGGAGGCGGTTATCTCGGCCTGCTCTTGGTAGATTAACGTCGGTTCTGTCATTCCCCATAATAAATTTTCGCATGTGCCCCCTTCAGATCAAAGTCTCAATCTGATCCTTGAGGTCAAAGCAATCCTCTGTGGCGTGCCCATGGTCTTTATGGAACCTACAGTACTTATCACGAGGTCTCCTCGCTGGGTCTGACTTCAATTTTGGTGGCTACTTCAGATATGGTTCATCTTGGATCTGTAGAAAAACTTGATCTATTGGCATATTTAAAGGAGTGTAATTTGTATATCTCTTCGCGCTCTTGTAGCGAGACGCCCTTTCATTCTGGTTGATCATAGGTTTCTTATACTTGGTTTTCTTTTCATCTTTGGTTATCAGAGCCGGCCTTTTCTTGTCTGCCTTCTTATCATCCCCTTCTTTCCCCTTTCTTGCCATCATTGCATCTTCAGCATTCATATGTTTTTTAGCTCGAACCAGTAACTCGGCCATGCTGGTAGGGGGTTCTTCTGATAAAAAGAAGAGAAATCTCGAGGTTTGGAGTCCTCCCATAAAGGCGGCTAAAGCCACCTTGTCATCTGCTTCCTCTACCTGCAACATTTTCGTATTTAAACGACCAATGTAGTCTCGCAGTGACTCTCCTTTCTGCTACTTTACAGTAAGAAGGTAGGTAGCTGGCCTTCTATGCTTTTGGCCAGCAATGAAGTGTCCCACGAAACGCTTACTCAATTCTTCAAAGGTTTCAATGGTCCCTGGCTTCAGCTTGTTAAACCACACTCGTGTTGATCCTTTGAGAGTTGTTGGGAAAGCCCTGCACATGATCTCATCTGGCATCACGTGCAAATGCATTAGCGCTTGAAAAGTCTCCAAGTGGTCGATGGGATCTTTAGTTCCGTCAAAACTCTTAATTGAGGGCATTCTAAATTTGCTCAGTAAGGGGCATTTCATAACCAAAGAGCTGAACGGCAAGTTGGTCTTCTGCACCAAACTATCTATGGCTGCAATACCTTTTCTCTTTATGGCCTGCATCACATCCTCCATCTTTGCCTTGAGATCTTGTATCTCTGGGTCAACGTGGGAAATCTCCTCTGTCTTTTCAACGACAGTTGTGTTTTCATGAGGTCGAGAACTCTGTGGAAGAGATGGGTGGATCACTTCTCTATGTCGGTTCCCTACCTGGCTTTATTCCACTTCGGTCTCATGTCGAGGAGGATGATTATTCTGCCCTTCAGGATTCCTATTACCTCTATTTTGGTTCGAGAGATCTTGTCGTGGCAAGTTCTGTTGAACCGGTGGAACAAGGTGTTGCAGGATTGATGCATTTTGCTGGATCAACTGGTCCATACCCTGATTCAGAGTTTGGACCTGTTGTTCCAACGCTGCAAGCTGCTCCTGGTCATTTGGGATGTCTAGGTTTTCACCCAACTCTTCCCTTTGACCAGACCCCTGTAACGATGTTCCTTCTGTGACTATACCGGATTGCAAACGTATCTACCCAACTGAGTATTAATATAAGGGAATTGTCGTTCCCACAAACGGCGCCAACTGTTGAGGTTGAAATTCGCCGTGACCTGGTACGACACCGTTTCCTGCAAAACCAAAACGGTAAAGTCAAACACAGGTGTGGTGCCGGCCGTTGACCCTCCGACGATCAAGTTAGTAGGAGAGAAATAATTTTTTATCGTAATTTCCCTAGTAGGAGATCTTTTTGTGTGTACCTTATTCCCGAGTCGTCTTCGTATTTATAGTCATTTCTCTTATTCTTGATAAGGGAATTTCATCGTCCTTAGCCCATGGAGTTTATCCCATAGAAATCTTATCTTTGATAAAATTTGAACTTACCCCATGACAAATCTTATCCTTGATACGATTTGTCACCATTCTCATCCAATAGAAATGGTTATCCTTGATAACGAGATATTATCGCTTGAAAGTTGAAGAGGTCTGGCGACTAGTCAATACTTAATTGCCTCTGTCATTAGGTCAAGATAGGTTAGGGTTATTTTTCCCTATCAATGTTAATGACACATATTTTGGAGTAAAACTCTCGTAGTTTTAAAAAAATAAAGTTGACCAAAACGTTGGAGTGGACATGAAAAAATATTGTTCATTTACCGAAATGTATCATTTTTAGGCACATAGATACCACTTTTTGTACAGGTATATACCATTTTTTGTCATTAGGTACCACGTTTAGACACAAAAGGACAATTTTGTCCTATTAATGCCTAAAATGATAATATATAATTCATGAATAAAACGAAAAAATAAAAACCTTAAGGAGGTAAATGGAATTTATCCAAATTTAAAAGTTACTAGTTGTAAAGTATTTTTTTTAGGACTGTGTACTCCTCATAAGGTTTACTTTTTGAGCAAATTACATTCATCTTTTTTATTTTGGGTATATAACTCCCTTTAAAATTTAAAAATGTTCCAAATTAGGACTTTTAGGCGGTCAACAGTGTGCCTCACACATGACTAAGTAAGTGTATTAAATACCGAAAATGCCGTTATTTGACTAGATTTTTTACTATTTTTAATTGAATTGAATTTTGTTTACTATTTTTACTATTTTAATTTTAATTGTAGAAAGGGCATTTTAGTATTTTTATTGCTCCATTAACGGTGATTGAAGGGAGATCCTTGTTCATTCCTAAAATAAATGTTAGGGAATTTTCAGAATATATTGGGAGTTATGTGAGTTATATGCATATTACAAGAGTATTAAATGCTCGTGAACCTATTTTTTATTAGCAAAACATCCCTTAATATATATATGAACATATATATAGTGTATTGGAGTAATATATTATGATGGGCTTTATTTTTCTGTTTAGATTTGGGCTTGTATTAACGGGAATAAAGGGGTTCCCCTGCCCACACGGCCCATTAGTAGCCACACACACCCATTCATTTTTGTACAGGCCTAGCCTCTCAACCAAAAATATTTTGAAGCCTCTTGGGTTTTAAATTTTAATTGAGAAGATCAGACATCAAGCTTGTGCAGATCAGACACTCAAGTTTTTAAACACGTACTACCGATGAGCAAAAGTTGGAAGTATATCTCTCGGCAATTGTGAGAAAGCCACAATTGATCATATTTCAGGAACCTTAGGTTTGAGTAAATTGATCAAATTAATGTGAATTGCTGAAGGCTTTATCTAGCACAGAGAGGAGATGAAATGACAGACGAAGTAGCTAAGGGTTATTCGCAGAAGCACGACTCAATTTGCAAAGAAGAGCTGCAGCCAGAGAGTTAAAACTCAAAACTATGATCTTCTACCAGGCATCTCCACACCAGAAGGCAGGAGGATAAGTTTTGTGAAATCCCTGCCTATGATATATGTCCTTGCACCAAATTCAAAGTATGCCACGCTTCTCTACAGCAGTCATGTAAAATTGATGGCCATCCCCATCAATAGACCATTTTTTATACAACAGTTGCGAGGAGTTAAATAGAAGAAGGATAGCTATCGTCGCAAGAACTATAAACTGCCATTTATTATGATATAAACCATGCCAATATAATCAATAGAGCATGTCCTTCATTCACAATACATATTAGCATATGACAAGAAAAATAAAAGGAAAAAGAAAAAGAAAAGAGAATAAACTAGAAGAATGAGCACAGAACATGGCCTAAAACAGTTTAAAGGGATAGATCAGCCAAGTCAAAAGTTCTTTCAACAGCTTTGCACCAAGAATCACACTTCTTCTTCCTGATCGCCGCATCTAGTTTAGGATGGAAAAGAGCAGCTTTCTTCATCCTTTCCTCGGAAGCAAAAACCTCCTCTTCATTCCAAATGCCAACGGCCAATCCAGCAGCATAGGCTGCTCCAAGAGCTGTTGTCTCTATGTCAGCTGGTCTTACCACCGGATTACCCAACAAGTCCGCCTGCAAATAGTTAGAAGACCGATTATATACATGTGTGGTCCACATCAGAACATTAGAAATGAAAGGCAAATTATTAATTTAGTATAATTAAATTTTAATTACGGTAGAAAGGAAGGCATAAACTATATAGCCTGTGTCTTGATAGAAACTTTGATGGGAACAGCATAATGCTGTATAATCGTACCAAACAAGAACTGATTAACAAATAGATTGAATTTTGTATTGGGTTCATGTAAATCCTGGAAAAGAGTGAAAATTTCAAACGATTTCTCTTTTTCAATTTTTTTTTTTTTTTTTTTAAAATAAAAAAAGCACAAACAGATAACAAATTCTATAAATTTTCAAATTTTCAAAGCAGAGAAAAGCAAAATACATATGTCTACAATCCCGGCACCTTGCATAGACAGGACCAGCACTGGTTCACATGGTTCACATGATTAGCGTACAAGTTTGGCATAAAAATTAAAAGGACCAACAAAACTGTCAAGAAGATCACAATTGCATTGTAGTAACGTTTACTAATTTTAGAGAATTAAAAAAATAATCAACATAAGGATGTTAAAGATGAACACAACAAATTGACTGTGGTAGTTATATGAATGAACACTAGTCATATACATAATAATTACGAAAATATAACAAATTAGAGAATGATGGACCTGAATTTGCATCAGAAGGTCGTTAATAGCAGCACCACCATCCACCCTTAGCAAGAACTCGCCTTTCTCATTTTTAACCTCACCTTTCTCCCCTGCATCCTTGTGCATTGAATCCAACACATCTTTCACCTGAAAAGCCATACTCTCCAGCACCGCCCGGGCAATGTGAGATTTGTTGGTAAACCTTGTAATTCCAATACAAACTCCACGGGCATCATCTCGCCACCATGGAGCAAACAGTCCATTGAATGCTGGCACAAAATAAACCCCGCCAGTCGAGTCAACCAGTGATGCCAACTTCTCAATCTCACTTGCAGAAGCAATTAACCCAAGACTGTCTCTCAGCCACTGTACAGCAGCTCCAGCAATGGCAATTGAGCCCTCTAGAGCATAGTTAGCCGAAGCTTTGGGACCAAGCTTAAATGCTAACGTACTTAATAGACCATGAGTAGATTTGATTATCTCTGTACCAGTGTTGAGTAGTATAAAAGCCCCAGTTCCGTAAGTGCTTTTGGCCTCGCCTTTCTTGCAAGCTTGCCCTAACATTGCGGCATGCTGATCACCGAGACATCCAGCAATTGGAATTCCAGGAATTGGCCATCCCTTTGCTATCTTCCCAATAATCTCAGAGTTGCTAACAATTTTGGGGAGAATTTCAGCAGGAATTTTTAGTGTTTCCAATGTAGGTGTATCCCAACCAAGTGATTTGAGATTCATCAGCATTGTTCGCGATGCATTTGAGACATCAGTGACATGTAAACCGCCGTCTTTGCCTCCAGTTAAATTCCAAATCAACCAGGTGTCTATGGTTCCAAACAGAGCATCCCCTTTTTTCACAGCTTCTTTAACAGGATCCACATTTTCCAACATCCATAGCAGCTTCATTGCGCTGAAATAAGTGCTTATGGGCAAACCACAGGTCTCAACAAAATGGGTTCGTCCGCCCGATAATTCTTTCTCTAATTTCCTAAAATAAAATAAAACATTGCATCAAAAGTTAAGCAGGCCTTGTGAAGAATTCGCATTTAACAATTAGACCCCCCCAAAAAAATATATAGTTCTAAAAATCCATCCGTCCCACAAAAATATGTCCACCTTTCCATTTTTGCCTGTTCCAAAATATATTGTCCCAATTAAAATCCAATGTATTATTTTTATAATATTCTTAGTTTACCATTACTAAAAAGTTTGGGATAATTTTTTTTTTTTACCATTAACAAGTCCAGAATTAGCGAATCGTGTATGGAGTAAAATTGCAAAATAAAGAGAACAGATTAGAATTAGATCATCCAAGGACAAAAAAATAATGAAAATGCAGTTTAGAATAAGATTTTCCCAGCTTAATCTATTGAAAAGTTCCACAATTGGTTAATCTAAAATTAGACATGCCCAATCTAAAATTAGACAACAGAAATCCCCGAAATAAGGAAGACCCAATTTAAGATTAGACAATCCAAGAAATAGAATAAAAAATAAATAAATAAATA